TGTCATATTATGTATTATTATTACTTACTACTTATTAACAAAGTATACAAAACTAGTCCTTTCTCTCCTGGACAAAATCCATTTTTCATAAATAAACTCATAAAAACAACAGACTTTATAAATATTTAACATGTAATTATTTGGGATTAAACTCAATTATCTATACTCCAATTTCCCCTTTTTGTGCCAATCAGTTTTTGTTACAGTATTGTTCTATTACTACAGAAGAAACACTAAAAGCAATTTTATAATTAAAAGTCTCTGATCTACCAAACATTTCCTGTTTTAAACCATTCTTCATGTGACAAAGGTTAACATCATCATGAGTCTTGATGACAGCATGTACCTTTGATATGATAGGGTGAAAACAGCCCTTCATCACTATGACTTTCTTCCCCAAACCCCAAGCCCACTCAAGCATGAGAAAAAATCAAGCAAATCTAAATTGAGGGAAATTCTATAAAGTACCTAACCAGTATTTCTCAAAATTTTCAAGGTCACTGAAAACAAGAAAACTCTGCACTTTCTCTCTCTCATCTGAAGATTCTTCCAGAAGAAAAGGACTATTTTTTATCTAAAATAATGAATGCTTTAGTTGGAAGGAATTATTGTGAAAGTAATTTTGGGAAGTTTAATGATCCAGAAGAGTTGACACAAAAATGTGTATATGGCTGTATGAGTTTAAAGCACAGCTATTTTCAGTTCAGTTAAATAGAGAAAATTTGACTACATAGCTGCTTTTGTATAATTTCATAAAACACTTATGAAATGCCTACTGTATGCAAAATAATTTACTAGGTTCTGTGCTGAATACAAAGTTAAATATTATGTAATCAAGGGAAACAGGTGCACATTGGAACTTGAAGCAATTCCAGCAGTTATATAGTCTTTTGGCTTTCTCTTTTTTTCTGAAAGTCCTCAATGGCTTATTTAGAAAAGATAGACTCAGGCGGTCTATAGAATTTCAGCTGAGATGCATAGTAATCAAACCATTGATGAAGAATATGACAGCATCAAACATAACACTGACAAAAAGGAAAAAGAGGTTGGCTCAGCCAGACCTATGATCTGAAGAAAGCTGAGTGACTCCTTAACTTGCAGAGCTTTAATTGTAGGATATGCCTACAAATATTTCATTAGCTCTCAATATTTCATTAGCACTAACTTCATCCCACTATCCCAGGATGGCCCAGAAGTTGGAGATTTTAGAGAATAATTTTAAAGCATTCATTATAACTATGCTCAAAGAGATGTAAGATAATGAGTTTGTAATGAATGAAAAGATAGGAAATTATAAGATGGAAATAGAAACTATGAAGAAGAACTTAATGCAAATTTCACAACTAAAAATACAGCACCAGAACTAGAAATTTTACTGGCTGAGGTAAACAGCAGAATGAAAACAATAAAAAATTATTTAATCTGAAGAAGAGAGAGAAAAAAATATTTTTAACATTAGAACCTTAGAACATATGAGACAATTTCAAAAGGCCCAACACATAGGTAAATGAAGTCCCAGGTGGTGTGGAGTAAGATAATGAAGGAGAAAATAGTTGGAAAAATAATGGCAGGAACATCTCAAATTTAGTAGGAGATATACATTTATAAGGAATCTTTAAACCGAGTAAATTTGAAAAAAAAAAAAAGGTTGCCTAAGAACATTATAATCAAATTGGTAAAAGATAAAGATTTAATCATGAAAATAACCAGAAAACAATGATACATTATAGAGGAATGTATTCAGAATATACATACTTCTTATGAGCAAGCATGAAGGCTAAAAGACAGTGGAACATCTGTAAGTGAAGAACTGAAATTATTTTGTTTGTATGTTTGAATGTATTTGGAATACACATACTTCTTATAAGCAAGCATGAAGGCTAAAAGACACTAGAATATCTGTAAAGTGAAGGAAAAAAAATATTTGGAAAAACTATCAACTCAGAAATGTGTGTTCAATGACAATAACCTTCATGAATGAAGGTGCATTTAAGATATTTTCATATAAGGAAAAATAAGGAGAATTTGCACCACCAGTTCTACACTACAAAATAAGCTAAAGGAAATATTTTTAGATGAAGAGAAAGAATATCAGGGAAAATTCAGATATTTAGGGACTGAAAAGAAAATTGGACATGATGAGACTATCTAAATATACATTAAAAACTGTTACTTTTTATTTAAAATTTGTAATATTCTTTGAAGCATATTAATAACATTGACATAAGAATATATAATATTTCATAATATAACACTTAGGAAAACTATAATGTGAAAAACAACATATATCAATGAGCATGGCTCTTTACATTTTACAAGTGGTAAAATATTAAAATGTGAAAAATTAATAATGAGTATTTTAATCCTTAGAATAATCATTAAAAAAATGCTGCAAGGTACAACAAAAAAGTCAATAGATAAATAAAACATAATCCCAAAATGTATTCAACTATTCAAGGCAAGAAGATTGAATCATAGGAACAAAAATCAGGAGGAATGAACTGAAAACAAGTGTGATCATATCAATAATTACATTAAATGACAATGGAATAAATACCCCAATTAAAAGAAAGAGATCAGAATAGAGCAAAACAGAGCCAACTATATGTTGTCTACAAGAGATGCCCTTTAATATAAAGACATAGATGGGATAATAAAAGATATGCTATGCACACAGTAATCAAAAAATGCTGTAGTGACCATAACAGATAGAATAGACTTCAAAAGAAAATTATCAGCCTGTAATCCTAGCACTCTGGGAGGCCAAGGTGGGTGGATAACTTGAGCTCACGAGTTTGAAACCAGCCTGAGCAAAAGCAAGACCCCATCTCTACTAAAAATAGGAAAAAAAAAATGAGGCAAGAAGATCACTTGAGCCTGAGTTTGAGATTTCTGTGAGTTATGACACCACGGCACTCTACCCAGGATGACAGCTTGTAATTCTGACTCAAAAAAAAAAAAAAATTATCAAAGACATAGATATTTTATCATAACAAAAAATGACTATTTATCAGAAAAACCTAACAATCATAAATATGTGAACATCAAAATACACACAACAAAAATTAGCCAACACAAAGAAAGAAATACAGATTCATAATTCCTCAAGTACTGTAGGAGATTTTAACAGTGATAAAACAGCTAAACTAAACACTATTAAGCATCTCAATTCATATTTATAGAACCCTGCAGCCAATAAGTACATAACACATGCTCTTAAAGCATATTAACTTATAGATCGATGGAACGAATAACCTCAAACTGGAAACAACCTGATATCTATCAATAGAAATGGATAAAAAACAATTCATGGTACTTATTCAGTGATCATTATGTTAAATAAAATGAGGCAAAAGTATAAATGTCATATTGTGTGATTCTATTTATATAAAATCCAAACTAATATAATGACAAAAGGCACATCTATAGTTACCTGGGATCAAGGATATTTGAAAATATGGACTGCAAAAAGCCCTGAGGAAAATAGTGGAGATGATTCTCTACATTTCCTTCATTGTGGCTATGGTCTGTACAGCTTTCAAGGTCTGTCTAATTTTATACTGAAATGGATATAGTTTATACCATGTAATCATTTCTCAAACAAGTTGAGAATAGGAAAAACTCACAAAAGTGATGGTAGACGAAGTTGCAGAAATTTCCTAAGAAATAGTAGAAAAAAGACAGATGAACAATTAGAGGCAAATATGAGTAAGAAAAACAAAGAATTGGTCCAGAAATTTTAGCATCTGTCTCATAGAAGTTTTGGAACTTACGTATCAGATTTGGAAACAGAGGAAGTCATTACCCAGAACATTTCTAAGCATGAAATACACATATCTAGCAGAAAGCATCCACCAAGTGCCTAGCACAAGGGATGGATTAAAAGAAACCCACATGAAATCACATCAGCATAAACTTTCAAAACACAAGAGTTGACAAGAACCTATAAGCTTCAGAATGGCACTAGATTTCTCAAAAGCCAATGCTGGAAGCTTAAAAACATGGAACATTGTCTCAAACTTCTTTGGGGGTCATAAGTATCTTCTACTTAGCACTTGTCACATAGCCCAAACTGTTGATCAGATTTGAAGGGATTATATAACACAGACATTTTCAGATATGCAAGATTTAACCATTATACTTCTCATGAAGGCTTTCCTAGGAAATTCCTGGAGAATATGGCACCCAAAAGAGAGGAATCAAAACAAGAAAAAGAGAAACATGCAGCTCGGTACCTATAGCTCAAGGGCTAGGACACCAGCCACATGCATCAGAGCTGGCAGGTTCGAATCCAGCGTAGGCCCACCAAAGAACAATGGCAACTACAACCAAAAAATTGTGGGGTATTGTGTCAGGCACCTGTAGTCCCAGCTACTTGGGAAGCTGAGGCAAGAGAATCACTTAAGCACCAAGAGTTGGAGGTTGCTGTGAGCTGTGACACCACGGGACTTTACCCAGGGTGACAGGTTGAGACTCTGTCTCAAACAAAAGAAAAAAAGAGAGAGAAACATGGGAAGCAGGAAACAGGGGATCCAATGTAGCATTGGGGTCAAGGGAAAGTCTAGGATGACCAGCAAGAAGAATGGTCAAATCTGATGAGAGAACAGCAGGTTTCTGAAGATTTTTCTTGAGGAAAATGACAATAATAAAGTTCTGGTTGAGTAAAGGTTAAGGTTTTGCATAACTGACAAAGACTCTGAAGTTGGATTAGTGATATGTACATAGAAAACTAAGCCAATAAAACAAAAGGTAACTATTCTCTCCTTGGGATGAGGGTATTGCAGAGAAAGTGAGAGTAATATTGGTACAATGTAAGACTCAACTGCCATTAGCTTTGACACATTTGAAGTATTGAAAACAGTGAACACTGACATAACTGAAATTACAACAGTATTGGGAGGATAAGAAGAATCCTGGATGGTGACAAAAAGTAGTATCAGAAAGCTAAACCTCTTCTTTTAAAGGGGGTAATTGGTTCTCATTGAATGCGGTGGCAGCTCCTGGGTCTTCTGTGTGTCTTACGTAATCCGTGCCAGCTCTACGAGTAAGCAACCATGTCTAAGGGACCTGCGATTGGTATTGATCTTGGCACCACCTACTCTTGTGTGGTCTTCCAGCATGGAAAAGTGGAGATAATTGCTAATGATCAGGGAAACCGAATCACTATGTTGGCTTTACTGACACCAAACGATTGATTGGTGATGCTGGGAAAAATCAAGTTACAATGAACCCCACGAACACAGTTTTTGATGCCAAGTGTCTGATTGGACGCAGGTTTGATGATGCTGTTGCCCAGTCTGATACGAAGCATTGGCCTTTCGTGGTGGTGAATGATGCAGGCAGGCCCAAGGTCCAAGTAGAATATAAAGGAGAGACAAAAAGTTTCTATCCAGAGGAGGTGTCATCCATGGTTCTAACAAAGATGAAGGAAATTGCAGAAGCCTATCTGGGAAAGACTGTTACCAATGCTGTGGTCACAGTACCAGCTTACTTCACTGATTCTCAGCGTCAGGCTACCAAAGATGTTGGAACTATTGCTGGTCTCAATGTTCTTAGGATTATAAATGAGCCAACTGCTGCTGCTATTGCTTATGGCTTAGACAAAAAGGTTGGAGCTGAAAGAAATGTGCTAATCTTTGACCTTGGAAGTGGCACGTTTGATGTGTCAATCCTCACTATTGAGGATGGAATCTTTGAGGTCAAGTCTACAGCTGGAGATACTCACTTGGGTGGCGAAGACTTTGACAATCGAATGGTCAACCATTTTATTGCTGAGTTTAAGCGCAAACATAAGAAGGACATCAGTGAGAATAAAAGAGCTGTCCATCGCCTCTGTACTGCTTGCGAACATGCTAAGCATACTCTATCTTCCAGCACCCAGGCCAGTATTGAGATTGATTCCCTTTATGAAGGAATTGACTTCTCTACCTCCATTACCTGTGCCCAATTTGAAAAATTGAATGCTGGGGGCGGAGCCAAGATGGCGAACTGCAGCCAGCTTTTTACAGAAGCTCCCGTCCAGAAGGAGGCTGAAAGGACAGAAC